GACCGTACAAAGGAAATGATTCAAAACACTCCGGCAGTCGAAAAAGAAGATAAAGCTGTTGTTTCAGAGGAGGAAGAAGGAGGAGTTGGAAAATTGGCGGAGAAAGAGAATAACCAGAAGCCTGTAAAAATGGATGATAAGGGAAACAAGTTTTGGATGACAGAAATTTGGTTGGAAATGGAGAAGGAGGATCGCAGAGATTTCTTTATAGGAAGATTGGAAGACCTTGGGATTATAAATTCGTACAAGGCGAAAGATGGAGCCTTTGGACTACTTGGGACCTTTGGATTTAAAAGGAATATGAAACATCACCTGGGCTCCACTTTCGAGCATGGAGGTTTGGTTGGAAGAAAAGTAGATCCTATCGGGACAGAGATTCTCCGAGACATGAGGTTTAAGATAAAGGACTGTCAACAAAACCGGCTGAGAGGGACTGAGAGAGAGTTAAGGGCCTCGGATGTGAGGGATCCGGGCTGAGAACTGACAGGACAATGGACATTCTTTGGGGATCAAAACCGGGAACGGGGGGAGGAAAGCTGGGATTGTAAAGGGTGTATAACTAGAATTAAATGTTTTTGCTATTTGGTATTTTTATGAAAGTCGGGAAATCGTTGGAAGGGAACTTGGGTCGACCTTAGAAAAGGATGTACTGATGGGTGTCCAAATCAATTATATGGGTAAAATGTATAAGGTTAAAAACTAAGTATATATAATTTTGAAAGTTAAGTATATAAGCTAAATTAATAAGAACTTGCTGAACTAGATATTGGAAGTGGGATACAAGAAGGGGAGGGGAGGGGAAGTCTGCAAAAAGGGTTAAGAAGTTAAGGATCTGAAATTATACATGTTTGTGTTTGTGTTTGTTTGTCTATGTTGTGCATTGTGTGTCTTTAAATTGTGTAAAACTTTATAAAAAATTTATAAAAAAAGGAATGGAAGTTGCGGGAAGCAGAAAATAGTATTAAGTGGATAGTTCCTCCAAATGGGGGGCTGTGGTGCCAGATATTCTTGACCAAAAGCTCAAAAGGACAATCTGGCCACATCGTTTTGCACCCACAAGATTCTGCACCAGACCCAAGGGCAGCCCCAGAAAGAGTGCATTGCAGTAGTCCAGCTCCACGTTTTCCAGTGCTCCAGGGGTCAGGCTATTCCTGTTCACAAACAGCCCTAGAGGACACGTGGGTCTCTAGTGACAAAGGCGTATCCAAGAGTACCCCCAAACTATGCATTTGCTACATAGGCTTAGGATCCAAGGCCATTATTGTGAAAATGAATTAATTGTAAGTAAAGAACCCTTTTCCTGTACCAGTCGGACTCCTGAGTATTTTATTTTACCTTTTTAGTCATGCTAATGTGTGAATGAGACTGATTTTGAGTGGTGCCATGCTTCTAGTAAGGGGTCTCCTGCTCCTTGGGGGCCTTCTTCGCCCCTGCCAGCTGCTCCTCCTGCTTCTGGCCTGGGGGGGTCGCAGCTCAAGGGGGTCTCCCAAGTGGGGCATGGGGGGGGCTCCTGACATGGAGGAGGAGAGAGCGGGGCTCCGCTTGTGCTCGGCTTGCCAAGGGTTAAAAGGCACAGAGCTGGGTTTCTAGAGAGGACAGGAAGTGGAGGCGTGGGGGGGGGGGCAGGTCCTCCTGAGCAAAAGCCCCTCCCTCGCCATTCCCGCCTGCAAGCGGGGGGGGGGGGCTGCTTCCGTCTCCCTCTCTCTCTGGCAAGAGCTGCCTGGGGGTGAGTCTGGTGCAATGGGGAGAAGGGGCTGCAGGGGAGGATGCCTGGGGGGCTGGTCAGATCATGCCTGGGGGGCGCCACATCCGGGGGGGGCGCGGGGGCCAGGGCTCTGCCCCGCTCTTCTTGCTTGGCCCCGGGGGGGAGGGGGGAGGGGGTCTTGGAGGGGGGAGCCTGCAGAGAGAGCCCTGGAGTCTCGATCAAGAGGTGAGGAGGAGGAGGAGGAGGAAGGGTCTTCTTCCTCTTGGCCAGCATCGCTACTGTGTCTTTTCTCCTGGCAGATCAAGGAGACCAGGAGACAGCAGAAACAGCTACATTTGTAGCAGGGCGATTGGAGCGAGATCTCTTATGGCTGGATCGCTTTTCTAACGTAGCTCAGCCTTTTTCTTTCTTTAATCAGTTTGGTCGTTTATACGGATGTCAGCCTCCAGGACGTACTTTGTATACCAAACTATATAGCAAACTATATCTGGTCTAGGGAACTATGGCCCACAAATAACCCAGAGATGCATTTTCAGTAAAAGCACACATTCTGCTCATGTAAAAACACCAGGCAGGTTTGGAGTACATTGTCAGGAGCAGGGCTAGGCAAACTGAGGCCCGGGGGCCGGATGCGGCCCAGTCGCCTTCTAAATCCGGCCCGCGGACGGTCCAGGAATCAGCCTGGTTTTTCCATGAGTAGAATACAGTGGTACCTCAGGTTAAGTACTTAATTCGTTCCAGAGGTCCATTTTTAATCTGAAACTGTTCTTAACCTGAAGCACCATTTTAGCTGATGGGGCCTCCTGCCACCGCTGTACGATTTCTGTTCTCATCCTGAAGCAAAGTTCTTAACCTGAGGTACCATTTCTGGGTTAGCGGAGTCTGTAACCTGAAGCATATGTAGCCTGAAGCATAAATAGAAGTGGAATACAAAAAGGGAGGTGTGAGGAGGTCATGGAAACAAGTGAATGAAAGATTGAAATTATTTTATGTGTTTTAAATTCCTTTTGTTTTGTTTTCTTAGTTTAAATTGTTTTTGTTAGTTTAGTGTTAGGTATTGTTTTTGTATTGTACTGTATTGTTTATTTTCTTTTTCTATGTATGTTCAAGTTGTTGGAAAGTAATAAATATTATTTTTTTTAAAAAAAGGAGAAGGGAACTGTTTCTCCTGCAAATCCGGTTCCCTCAGGGCCAGGTGGGACTTCTGAGATGGGGAAGCACATGGGGCCCTATTTCCAGGTTGGGCTTCTTCAAGTGCTTGTCAGAGGTTTCTTTTGCTTGCAGGGCAGATGCTTTGGGGAATCAGCTACTTGGGGTTGTAAAGATTCCTTGTATACTACTGGGAGTAAAAGATTCCCAATGGCTTCACTCACAAGGTTCAAAGGAACGTGCAAGCCCACTCACCACAACAAGGTTTTGATCCAGCGAGTGAGAAGTACATTTTTGCTAATTTAATCGGGGACAAATACCATCAAAACACCAGAAAATTTAAAACCAATAATAATAATAATAATAATAATTTATTATTTATACCCCGCCCATCTGGCTGGGTTTCCCCATCTACTCTGGGTGGCTTCCAACAGAATATTAAAATACAATAATCTATTAAACATTAAAAGCTTCCATAAACAGGGCTGCCTTCAGATGTCTTCTAAAAGTCTGGTAGTTGTTTCTCTCTTTGACATCTGGTGGGAGAGCATTACACAGGGCAGGAGCCACTACCGAGAAGGCCCTATGCCTGGTTCCCTGTAACTTGGCTTCTCACAGGGAGGGAACCGCCAGAAGGACACTGGACCTCAGTGTCTGGGCAGAACGATGTGGGTGGAGACGCTCCTTCAGGTATACTGGGCCGAGGCAGTTTAGGGCTTTAAAAGTCAGCATCAACACTTTGAATTGTGCTTGGAAACGTACTGGGAGCCAGTGTAGATCTTTCAAGACCGGTGTTATGTGGTCTCGGTGGCCTAACTTCCAAATCTAACTTCCAAAGCCAGTCCATCATTAATTTATTATGTCCCACATCCTTCGCCCATTTTATCATAACGCATTTGACCTGGTCCTCTTTGGTGTCCCATTCCAAAAGCAGATCGTTCATTTTTGACAGCTGTTTTATACTACCTTCTAGTATTTCTCTCTGAAATCTTGACATTTGATAACTAAATCCTTTCTTTTCATGATTTTTAAAAGTTGCATTTAGTTGTAAATAGTGTAACCAGTCTATTACATTTTCTCTTACTTCTTCAAAGTCCTTTAATTTTAATTGGTTGTCAGTTTCAGTTAACAGCTCTTTATGACTATGAAAACTTTTATGAACTTTTGCCTTATGATACCATAGATAAGCATGCCTGGTGTTGCAGTCTTCAGGCTTGGGGACAAGATGGTGACTGGTTTTTGCCCCAAGTTCTTTCCATAAGCCCCACTGAGTTCAATGGGATCTATTCTCAGGTCTCTACTGTGCAGACCATGCCGGTCTTACGAAGAGGGGAGAGGAGTAAACAGAGGAAATTGGAACCACTGGAAATGTTTATAAATGGGGTTTCTGTTGGGAAGGGGCTGCCCCATTTGTGCTTTTCCAGGGGCAGGAGAATCCAGTGAGAGCCAGTGTGGCACAGTGGTTAAAAGTGGTAGACTTGTAATCTGGGGAACCGGGTTCGCATCTCCGCTCCTCCACATGCAGCTGCTAGGTTACCTTGGGCTAGTCACACATCTCTGAAGTATCTCAGCCCCACTCACCTCACAGAGTGTTTGTTGTGGGGGAGGAAGGGAAAGGAGAATGTTAGCCGCTTTGAGACTCCTTTATGTAGTGTTAAAGCGGGATATCAAATCCAAATGCTTCATCTTCTTCTCTTCTTCTTCCCTGCAGGGCCTTTGAGGCTCCCTTTGCGTCTTCATCTCTCCCAGGACCTTGCAGCTTGTTTTGGCTCCTTGACTCTTCAGGAAGAATGAAAGAGATGGATCCTGCAAAGCTAGCGGGGATGGAAGGGGGAAGATGGACGGTTGACCTGGTCAGGTTGTCTCCTGCATCCCTCCTCACAACCTCTGAGCGTTCCTCTCTAGGGCTCTCAGAGAGATCTGGTGAGTTCCAGGGGAGGGGAGATGGGGACATGGAGGGATGGAGCCAGAGAAATATTGGGGCTTGCTCAGCCTGGGGGTGGGGGGAGGCAGACAGGCAGGCGGAGATTGAGAAGGTGAGCACCTTTCTGGGCTCCACCACCTGCCTGCCTGCGCCTTTGTCATCTGCAGGGAATTTGAGCTAGGAATACATCACAGCTCCCTGGCCACCACGATGTATTGGCAGCTCAAAAGGTCTAATACCAGTGCCGTGGCCTGAATGCCCTACCAATGTCAAAAAACTTACTGCTCCATCGCACAGCTGTAGAAGCAACGAACTCTGCATAAGGAAGTCAAGGAGGAGAATCGTGGGATCCTGGACGCTCTTGGTTAAGCTCCCCGTTGGATCATAAGATCAGTTTTGAAATTACATACATACATTCCCCCCCCCGAGATCCTACAATATAGCTCCCTTTCTGTTCTTCAGACATAGAATATTCTGCCAGCTTTAACTTTTCAATGATAGTTACAATTCTGTCACATAACTCTGGCAATCTATCTTTTCTTCATTTTTTAGACCAAAAAAGTTTCTTATTAAATTGCGATGACATCTTCTAAATTTATAAACTTTCCCTACATTGTGAAGAATTTCTCTGGCAGTAAGACATCTGCCTCAATACATTATATCATTTCAATTCTGTATAACACTGTTCTCATTCTCCTATTCCACTGTGTAAAACTTCCTATGTACATCCTAAAAATTTCTACTTTTCAGTCTGCCTTTAAAAATTGTTTCTGAGAGGATAATTAAGAGTACACTGGCAAAGAGGTCAAAATGTTAATGTCAGTTTCTGAGGTAAAACGTGTCACTTTACAACTCTGCACCTGTCTTTCTGGATTATTCATGGTTTTCTGGATTTTGTGGGCCCCAAACCCATTTTCTGTGGTATTTATATGCTGCTACATTAGGTATGAAGAGGGAATTACAAGTGCTTCTATCTATATGAGACTTTACAGACTTTTTCTGAGGCACATAGCAGCATAAAACAGGCAGCAGGTGCTCTCACAGAAAACCTCTCTCTCACTCGACAGTTGAGACCAGACCTAACTGAAAAAACGGCCTTCTGGAGTGACAGTCACCCTTTCCATAGCAACTTGGAGGCAACATTCACACACAGAGTTGTTAGGGAAGTTGAGGTAATTTGTGTCCGGTTTGGGTTTCTGTTTTAGCCTCTGCCCGTTTTTTAAAGAGAAGACCAATGTTAGAATTGGAGTGGATTTCATGATTGTGGCAACAAAAATCCGTCCTAGAAAAGAGGTCGACAAATGCTAGTCGACAAAGGCCACAGCCTCTGTAGAAAGACCTCACATCTTCTGTTCTTCCTCTTTGAGAAATTTTCATTAGCATTGTTCAATAATTGGGGGCTCCGTTTCTTCCTGAGGATCTAATTAGTTTCTGTCTTTGTTGTAGGTGGTGATGAATTGGAAATGAAGAATGGGGAGACCATGACAAAATCCACACAGTGGAGAAGCCAAATCAAAATTGGGAGTATGGAGATAGCTCCAGTCAGAGTTCCCGTTCCCACCAAAGAACTCAAAGCGGGAAGAAAGACTATCAGTGCTCAGAATGTGGGAAGAGCTTCAGTCGGAAGGGCAGTCTTACTTTGCATCAAAGAATTCATTCTGGAGAGAAACCCTATCAGTGCTTGGAATGTGGAAAGAGGTTTCGTCAGAGTGGGGATCTCACTTCCCACAAAAGAATACATACAGGAGAGAAACCTTACCAGTGCTTGGAATGTGGAAAGAGCTTCAGTCACAGCACCCATCTCACTTCCCACCAAAGAATTCATACAGGAGAGAAACCCTATCAGTGCTTTGAATGTGGAAAGAGCTTCAGTCGGAAGGACAGTCTCACTTCCCACCAAAGGATTCATACAGGGGAGAAACCCTATCAGTGCTTTGAATGTGGAGAGAGCTTCAGTCACAGTTACAGTCTCACTTCGCATCAAAGAATTCATACAGGGGAGAAACCCTATCAGTGCTTGGAATGTGGGAAGAGCTTCAGTCAGAGCACCCATCTCACTTCCCATCAAAGAATTCATACTGAAGAGAAACCCTATCAGTGCTTTGAATGTGGAAAGAGCTTCAGTCAGAGAACCCATCTCACTTCCCATCAAAGAATTCATACAGAGGAGAAACCCTATCAGTGCTCAGAATGTGGGAAGAGCTTCAGTCGGAAGGACAGTCTCACTTTGCATCAAAGAATTCATACAGGGGAGAAACCCTATCAGTGCTTGGAATGTGGGAAGAGCTTCAGTCAGAGCACCCATCTCACTTCCCATCAAAGAATTCATACTGAAGAGAAACCCTATCAGTGCTTTGAATGTGGAAAGAGCTTCAGTCAGAGAACCCATCTCACTTCCCATCAAAGAATTCATACAGAGGAGAAACCCTATCAGTGCTCAGAATGTGGGAAGAGCTTCAGTCGGAAGGACAGTCTCACTTCGCATCAAAGAATTCATACAGGGGAGAAACCCTATCAGTGCTTGGAATGTGGGAAGAGCTTCAGTCAGAGCACCCATCTCACTTCCCATCAAAGAATTCATACTGAAGAGAAACCCTATCAGTGCTTTGAATGTGGAAAGAGCTTCAGTAAGAGCGCCCATCTCACTTCCCATCACAGAATTCATACAGGGGAGAAACCCTATCAGTGCTCGGAATGTGAGAAGAACTTCAGTCGGAAGGACAAACTCACTTCTCATCAAAGAATCCATACAAGGGAGAAATCCTATCACTGCTTGGAGTGTGGGAAGAGCTTCAGAAAGAGGGCAGGTCTCATCCGCCATCAAAGAATTCATACAGTGGCACCTCAGGTTAAAAACTTAATTCGTTCTGGAGGTCCATTCTTAACCTGAAACTGTACTTAAGCTGAAGCACCACTTTAGCTAATGGGGCTTCCTGCTGATGCCTCACAATTTCTGTTCTCACTCTCAAGCAAAGCTCTTAGCCCGAGGTACTATTTCTGGGTTAGTGGAGTCTGTAACCTGAAGTGTGTGTAACTTGAGGTACCACTGTACAGGGCATGAAGTGTATAAGAAATGTGGAAAGAGCTTCTCTTCCAAGAGGCGTCTAGCTTCCCATGCCATGAAGAAATTCATGTGATTGAGCTGGTGGTTGCTGAAGAACTCCAGGCATGCCTGGAGGATGGGGACCATTTGGATCCATTCCAATTGGGAATCAGGCCTCATATTGGGACTGAAACTGTCTTGGTTGTGCTGGTCCATGATCTCCGGCGCACTAAGCACAAAGGTGAAAGCTGTTTCCTGCTTCTGCCGGAGCTCTCAGTGGCCTTTGATACAATTGACCACGACATCATTCTGGACCGTCTAGAGGAGCTGGGAGCTGAGGGTTATACAGTGGTTCCACTCCTTCCTCCTGGGCCGTGTTCAGAAAGTGGTGGTGGGGGATTAGTGTACAGACCCCTGGGCTCTCACTTGTGGGGTGCCTCAGGGTTCCATCCTCTCCCCCATGCTTTTTAACATCTAAATGAAGCTGTTGGGAGAGATCATCAGGGGGTTTGGTCTGGGTGTTCATCAGTATGCGGATGATACCCAGCTCTAACTCTTTTAAATTGGAACCAGTGAAGGCAGTGAAGGTCCTGTGTGAGTGTCTGGAGGCGGTTGGAGGATGGACTGCAGGTGACTGATTGAGGTTGAATCATGACAAGACAGAAGTGCTGTTCTTGGGTGACGGGGCGGGCTGGTGTTGAGGACTCACTTAGACCACTGCAACACATTCTATGTGGGGCTACCTTTGAAGGTGACCTGGAAAGTACAACTAATCCAGAATGTGGTTGCTAGACTGGTGACTGGGAGTAGCTGCTGAGACCACATAACACCGGTCCTGAAAGACCTACATTGGCTCCCAGTACGTTTCTGGCCACAATTCAAAGTGTTGGGGTTCACCTTTAAAGCCCTTAACAGCCTTGGCCCAGTATACCAGAAGGAGTGTCTCCACCCCCATCCTTCTGTCTGCACACTGAGGTCCAACTCCCAGGGTCTTATGCTGTCTCCCTCACTGCAGGAAGTGAAGATACAGGGCCTTCTCGGTAGTGGCATCCGCCCTGTGGAATGCCCTCCTACCAGATGTCAAAGAAATAAACAACTGTCTGACTTTGAGAAGACACCTCAAGGGAGCCCTGTTTAGAGAAGCTTTTAATATCTGATGAATTATTGTATTTTAATATTTTGCTGGAAGTCACCCAGAGTGGTTGGAGAAACCCAGCGAGACGGACGGGGTATAAATAAATTATTGTTATTGTTTTAACAACTTTCCCATGCAATATGGGAATCCACATCCATCTGAAGTTCAGGAGCAGTTGGACAATCCCCAGATTCTGGGCATCTACATTTGGGGCCATCTGGTAGAAAAAGGGGAACTGGGTTTTTTCATGAAGAGTCGGAACAGTGTATCCATAACTTGCCCAGGAAGCAAAGGAAGAGGTGAGTGCTTTGCTGTGGTTCCAGGACAAATCTCAGACAGTTGACCAACTACAGTCCCACACACACGCACACAAAGAACAAGACAAAATGCTGACCGTGTAGAATGGAAGGAGGTCTTCCAGGAATGCCTCCAAACTCTCAATATTTTGTGGGACTGAATCACATCCCAGAATATTAGACTAGGGACTCAGCTACATTACTCAAAAAACTGTGTTTTGAATGCATTGTAAACAAGCAACATTTTTTAAAAGCAGTGGTGGGGTGGCATAGGGCATTTGACACCAATGTTGAGTGCACCTGCTTCCAGGTTCCATCCCACCCTTACCTTTGGGAGAGTCCAAAAAGGAAAGAATGAAAAGCCCATGGCAGAGGCACAACTCTGTCTTAACACCAAAGCAGCCATACCTGTGGGATTTTGTAGATGCTTGACACAGGTGACATATGTCTAGAAATATCAGCTTCAGCATCTTCAAGAACAGCCAACAGGTTATTCCTCTTCCTGGCTCCCGGTGGAGTACAATGTCAGATTTCAGATGCTGGTTTTGACCTTTAAAGACCTTCATGGCCTAGGACCCTCGTACCTATAGGACCGCCTCTCCCGGTATGGCCCATGGAGGACCGTAAAGTCCATAAATAGCAACACCCTAAAGGTCCCGGGCCCAAAGGAAGTTACATTAGCCTCAACCAGAGCCAGGGCTTTTTAAACACTGGCTCTGGCCTGGTGAGACCAGGGCCCTGCAGGATCTGATTTCTTTCCACAGGGCCTGTAAGACAGAGTTGTTCTGCCTGGCCTTTGGCTTGGAGTCAATTTGATTCCCTCCCTCTCTTTCTTTTTTCCTTTCTCCTCCTGTGATGAGGCTGCATTTTAACGTTTTAATGTTGTATTTTATTTATTTATTTATTTTTAATAGCTATTTATTGAAGATTTTCCATTTTAGTAAATTAAAAAGCCAAAAAGAAAAAGAAAAATTAAAAACATATACAGTTTACAATCCTTATTTTTCAGTAACATATTTCCCTGACTTCCCCACACCTCCCCTTCTTATATTCCAATTCAAATTGTTAGTTCAACAAGTTCTTATCCCCAATTTTTTAACCTTTTTATGTTTTAATTCATTATAAAAAACCGATTTTACCTTATAAACATCAAAATTTATACATCAGTACTCATTCTTAAATCTTTTTTCTAAAGTCGACCCAAATTCCCTTGCACGAATTCTCCATTTTTCATACAAATAACAAAACAGAATAAAAATAAAAAGACGAATTATAATTATACACCCTTTGGATCCCCAAACCCCACCCCATCCCCTTTCCCGGTTTCAATCCCCAACAAGTGTCCATCAGTCTTAATCTACTATCAGCCTGGGGATCTCACGTCCGAGGCTCTTAATTGTCTATCAGTTCCTCTCTGCCGTTTTTTTTTTATAGTCCTTAATGTTAAACACTAGATCTCGGAGATGCTCTAGCCCGATGAGGACAATGTTTCTTCCAGCCAGACCTCCATGTTTAAAAGTGGAGCCCAAATTTTGTTTCTTACTCCTTTCAAATCCAAATGTCCCCAAAGCTCCCACTTTCACCTTAATCAAATTTGTAATCCTTGGGTCTTCAGATCTCCACATAGAGAGATCTCTCCATTCTTCAATCACCAATTCAGACCAGATTTTCATCATCCAGTTCTTATTTTCCTTTATAACCATCATGTCAGGCCTCTGGCTCTCCTTTGCCATCTGCAACATTATATCTCCTCCTTCCTTTTCCTCAAAAACAACATGTGTCTCTTTCTCCACACTCTCAAAGTTCTCAAATTTCTCTTGTCCAGCTGCTTGGGCTTCCTGGATCAAATCCTTATCAAATTCAATGAACTTATTTACTGTTAAGTCCAGAGTTGCAACGTTGGTAGCCAAAACATCAATTTGGCCTTGTAACTTTCCCAAGAGAAAGAAAACTCTGTCCAATTTAGCTTGAGTTTTGCCTCCTTCAGCCATTCTTGTAATGTCCCAAAACCCCCTCTAGAGGGATTTTGGTTACTTAGTATTCATTCCAGTTCAAATCCAACAATCAAGTTAATTTGTGTCAGTTCTTCCTTGTTTTCAACAAAGTATAACCCAATTGTAACAAATATAACCAGCAGAGACAATAGAAAACAAAGTTCGCTTTTTCCGTCTTGACAGCTAATTTGACAGCTGTCAAACTCTTCAATATCTCTCCAACAGGCTCTCTCACGGATCACTCCCGGGTCACGGGGGGTGGCACCTCAGCTCCGAAAATTAGCTCTTATCCTCCAGTAAAATTGCTTAAACTGCCAAATCGTGCAATTAATACCTTTTAGCCAATAAAAGGGGAAAAATCCTCTCGACTTTAGTTAGCTAGTCCTTGCTTTAGATTATTTACAAGATGGGGAGACGGACTTCCTGTTTGCATCTTCCCCGATCGTGCCTAATTCAAAAAAATTTTTTTCTTTAGAAATCCAATTTCCGTAGTACTCACAGGTTGCTGCTTTAAAGTCCAATTGTTCACAAGAAGAAGTCAGCGCTCTCCGGCCATGGCATGCAGCTTCACTCCGCAGGAGAAGCAGTAGACTCTCAGCACCGCGCCACTCACCCCGTCCCCCGTTCCGAAGCCTTTAAAAAGGCTCCTTCACGGGTCGGGGGGGCGCAAATGGTGCCCGCCAAGTCACCAGGTTCACAGGCTACCTCACCTGTGATTTTTAAGGGTCCCCGCGTCGCCGCAGCGGCAAGACCCGAATCCTGCGGAGCCGATTCCCTCCGGAGCTTGGAGGGAGTCTGCCATTAGCCGTTGGCGCTAACCCGGAAGTCCCGTAATGTTGTATTTTAATCTTGTTTTTAAGTTGTATTCATTCAACTGGTTTTTATTATTGCTTCTTAGCTGCCCTGAGCCCGGCCTTGGCTGGGGAGGGCAGGGTATAAATAAAATTAATTGTTGTTGTTATTATTATTGTTGTTGTTGTTGTTAAAGAGCACCACATAATCAAGTAAATCAGGATGAATGCTGAATCAGCAGGGTCTCTGGAGAAGCCTTGAATCAGGTGGAGAGCATTTTTTTTTTATTGACTGAGTCATTGACTGAATCAGAAGCAGAATGTCATCTCACGTTTCTCTCAGAAATGGGGTCCATTCTAGTGGACTCAAAGGAGAACTTTGGACAAATCCTTTGAGTTTTCATGAGAAGTAAAGGAAAGGGGAAGTGGGAAGAGTGATGTTGTGTCAGGCGTGAAGAGTTCTCCTCTCCCTTTGATAACATCACAGATAAGAATTAACAAGCAGTTGATCTATTTATAGTCCTTTTATTACAGCATCATGTTG